TCTCTCTCACTCTCTCTCTCTCTCTCTCTCTCTCTCTCTCTCTCTCTCTCTCTCTCTCTCTCTCTCTCTCTCTCTCCTCTCTCTCTCTCTCTCTTCTCTCTCTCCCTCTCTCTCTCTCTCTCTCTCTCTCTCTCTCTCTCTCTCTCTCTCTCTCTCTCTCTCTCTCTCTCTCTCTCTCTCTCTCGCCTTCTTTCGTAACCCGAGGCACATTTCGTTACCCGATACAAAAAAAATTCGGAGTTGTTTTTCGTAAACCGATGTCTTCGTGAACTGAGGAGTTCGTAACCCGAGGTACCACCGTATTTATGTTCAGAGCTTAATTTCCTTTCATTGGTCATTGATTTTGACGCCCCCTCCCTCCCCAACCGCCCTTGCGCCGCTCCTATTTTACCACCCTACATAAACAACACTTTAGCAATCGGAATGAAACATACATCACATAGTTACATATATCACATCATTACATACATCACAGCGTTACATACATCACATCGTTACTCAATTCTTCGCACTCCAAACATATTGGACTGGTCTTTATTAGTGTGTGTGTGTGAGTGTTTTTGAATGTATGTGTGAAAGCATGTTTATATGTATATGTGTGTGTATGCGTGAGTGTATGTATGTCAGCGCATCTTTGTAGTTATGTTTGTCTGTGCCTTTGCCTTCACTCTTCCACTGAATTTCAAATGGTTCGATATCCAGCTTCAAATGATATCATCTCCTTTGCTTGTCTAAGGTTAAGAAAGGGGAGAGTAACTACTTGTGTAAGGTCAAGACAAGGGAGGGTAACTACTTCAGGCGAAATAACTCTTCATTTTCTTGTTTTTCTTTCAATTAATCACGCAAAAAAAAATCCAATGAAGAACTCACGAACAAACGGGTATCAAGTCCATCGCCCTCTCTCTTACTCTATATCCCTCTCCCTTTCTCTATCTTTCTCCCCTCTCTCTCTCACGCTCACTCTCACTCTATTCCTCTCTCTCTTTCCTCACTTTCTCTCTCTCCCTCTCTCTTTATCTCTCCCCCACTCACTCTCTCTCTTTCTCCCTCTCTCTCTCTTTCTCATTCTCTCTACCCCCCTCTTTCTCATTCTCTCTCTCCTGTCTCTATCTCTCTCTCTCTCTATTTATATATATATATATTTATATATATATATCAATCTCTTTCAATCTCTCTCTCAATCTCTCTTAATATTTCTCTCCATCTTCCTCTCAATTTCTCACTCTCTCAATCTCCCTCTCAATCTCTCTTTCATTCTATCTCTAAACTCTCTCAATCTATCTCAATATATCTCAAAATCTCTCTCTCACCCTCTCTTTCTCTCCCTCTCTCATTCTCTCAATACCAGAAGATCGAACCGTGACGTCATTTTATTTCACAAGAACATCTCTCCATTTCTAACATCTACTCTCAGCAATCTGACCACATACCGACAGTTTGACCAGTTGCCTGCACTTTGACCTCCTAATATAAGCTGACCAGTTTGTCTGGATGCTCTGGATACGAAATCAAAGGCTCAGAGCAACCGGAGCCATAGGGGGGGGGGGGGATTGTGTTGTGCTATACTTTTTTTTCGACACCCCCCACCCCAAACTCGTACGGACAATACGCATTTAGCCCCCATCCCCATTCAAGACCAAAGAAATCAAATAATTTAATAGATAGGTGTGACGTCACAGGAATACAAACAATTTATTTTTGGGTTTATACCGCCGACAGTTTGACCAGCCCAATGGTCCCATAATATACGACGCGTCGCTCTGGGTGCCATGATGCCCTCAGGAAGAGGTGTCAGAATGGTGCAAAGAGGGCAGTCACAGCGGGCGCAAAAATCTTCTTTAGATAGGATCTTAATTGTGAATTGAATATATATAAAATCCCAAATACTTCAGAAAGACAAGAGGGGCCAAAAAATCGTCTTTTTTACCGGGGGCACTTTTTCGCAATATTAAGTGGCGCCATTTTCCGGCTTTGTCCCCCAGGTGCAGCATTTCCCCCGCAGCGTACAAACAACGGTAAAAACAGAATACAATAAAAATGGCACTTAACTGAAAAGTAGTACCCGACAGTGCAGCTTAAAAATGGTGAAAACCTTAATTTGGCACAAGCGCCGGGAAAAGAAACATAGAAACAACTGAACTAGCACAATGAAGATAGAGCGGACGAAATACTCCAGTAACACTTCTGCTACCGAGTATTATTGAAGAGATATCTGTCTAGTTCATTTTTGAAAAGAAATGGTAACATCATGAAGATAATTGCGTGATACTTTTACAGCACTGGAGATATGAATATGCAATTTTAGGACTTTTAGATAGAGCTGAAACTATTCAGTGCGCTTGCCTTTGCGGCGAAATGAGATCAGACAAATGGAAATAAGACAAGCAAGTCGTCGCTGCCAAACGTTCGGACAAGCCGGACGACGAGAGGAAAGTATGGATAAGTACGGACGCAAAAGGTTGTACGGAAAAAGGGGGTCGAAAATACAAACTGTCTGTACTAAATACAAACGTCTGGTAACCTTGGGTGCCGGAAATTTGATCGAACGGAAATTTGGTTGAATTCCCTTTTCAGTTCACACGATCTAATTTTGCGTCAAATTTCTTTTTGAACGCACAATACTATATAGTAAAGCAAAATTTTCCGTCGACGAAAATTCTTTCAAACAAATTTCTAGATTCGGGTAACCCTACCTAATAGCACTTTGACCTACTAATAATAATAAAGTTTATTTCAAAAACACGCTTCATCCCCAAAGGCTTGAAGCGTGGTACAAAGTCAACAAAAAAAAAACAATAACAAAAAAAATCTATAATTTACAACATTTAAAACAAACGCAACACTACAAAAACTAATTACAAGCAAACAATCTCAAAGTCTTTCTAGCCATTTCAACCCTGAGCAACACAGCCAATATGCATTAACTGGAAAATATGGTAGACAATCATCCCAGAAGGTGTTTGCGAAATAGATGTGTCTTTAAATCGGTTTTAAAGGACCCCAGTGTCTGGTTGTTTCTGAGAGCGACAGGAAGGGCGTTCCAAATTGTTGGACCAGCAAATACTACCCGCAGTGTGACCTACTATCCGAATGTGTACCTTCTGCCAGCACTTTGAACTTGTACCAACACTTTGACCTACTGCCAAATAATTAGTAGCACAAGATATGTTTAGGTTTGAGAAAAGATAGAACAATGGAGAGAGCAATTCGGTTAAATGCCTTCTTCAGCAGACACCACAAAACAAGAAATAACAAATTACTTAAAACGAAAAAACCTATGTGTTCCCAGATAGTGTTTTATATCATCGATCATCTACCAACAGTTCGACCTATCACCAGTAGGGTATTGCATAGGGGCAAAGCAGCACCCACCCTGGGTGCCATCTTTAGTGGGCGCCAATATCGTCTTTTTGCTTTCAAGATATGTATATTAATGTATACCTAACTATGATGAGGGCGCGTAAATTCAGCCTTGTTTTGGGTGCATTTTTTTTGCCTCATACTCGTCGAACAGTCTGTCATAATAAAACGAATTTCTTCAGCTATTGTTAGGTCTAATGTGTTTCCGCTGCTAAATACCCCCCCCCCCCCCCCTAAGTCCTCCCATTTGACTTGTGTCTACTCATCCCAGTCACAAACATCTCTACAACTATGGCCTGAACTAAGTCCTCCCATTTGACTTGTGTCTACTCATCCCAGTCACAAACATCTCTACAACTATGGCCTGAACTAAGTCCTCCCATTTGACTTGTGTCTACTCATCCCAGTCACAAACATCTCTACAACTATGCCCTGAACTAAGTCCTCCCATTTGACTTGTGTCTACTCATCCCAGTCACCTCATTGACATTTACGCACACCGCCCAATCCATCGCCGCCGTCCACATCATTATCAAAACAACTCGTCGCGTAACGTGGTGTCTGTCCAGCGAGCCAACGGTCGAGTCTGGAACCACAGAAATTCCGTTGCCAGACGCCATCTTGCCTGCTTGTAAATATCCGACACCACAGACCCAACGCTGACATTCTGCCCCACCAGGGGCTTCCTGTGACATCGCAGTAGAGATTACCGGCTAATTAGTCCCGGCGCTTGCGAAACGTGTCCAATGTGACCAAAGCTTGTTGTGGAATGATCTCGTCTGGTAAGACGCCATGTTTGTTTCTGTGTGAGTCGTAAGTTATTGATCTCCTCGCGAGCAGCGGGTTCGTTCGGGCAACGTAAATTATTGACCTGAACTAAAGAGGGCGGAAAAATCAATCGTTTTAAACTTTGCCATGTTGTTTATTGTGACAGGCTGTAGAAGTATGCATTATGTCACAATGATGCGCGATTTGTTGTGACAATTTAAATTTATGTCACAATGGCATGTGTTTTACTGTGACAATTTAGATTAATGAGTTATGTCACAGCGGGATGTGGTTTATTGAGACAGGTTAAATTAATGTGTTATAACACCCTGTTATATGGCTAAATGTGACAGGTTAAATATTAATGTTTTATATTAATTATAGTGTATGGGGTGGAGGTGAAGACAGTGATGGTTACATAAATATGTATTATGTCACTTATAGTGTTGTAACTGACAAACCATTTTAAACGTAGCCATTCCGTATGTTTTAGGTTTAAATCATTTTAAATAAACCGAGTACATAAGACAAGTATAGTTTAGCTAGTTAAATCATTTTTTGTTAATCATATACACGTATCGTAACATTTACTTACTTACTGTTATCGAGTATTTTTCTAATCCTTTATTGTGTTTGGCGTTGGTTTCTTCGTTAATTTAATTGTAGGCTTGAAGTTACTCTAAGTAGTTTTGTGAATTGGTTTTTCGCTTTAAAACTTAGTAGCATTTCAAATAGCAAGCTAAAACTCCTTTCAGTAGGTTGAGATAATGTAGCGTGTGCCAAGAGACAGGTTGAAGTGAATTAATTACGCTAAAGGAGAAAAAGAAAAACGTGTTATTTTTTCTTAATCTAAAATTCTTGTGACAGTTATTTATTGAATTTGCGGCCAACGTATTCCATGCTACGTGAATTACATTTGGTCTCGTGGTTACATTTAAGCTTTCCACTTCAGTGTCGAAAGTGAGTTCAATTATTGCTGTTCTTAACTGGAATTTGTATAAGGATGTGGTTATGCATATACTGGCAGTAGTGGTGGAACGGACTAAGCTTTTTTGTCGCCTCCCTTCAACGAAAACAACTCTGCAAGTGGCTAAAAGTTTCTCAACCGTGCCGACCGCCCCCCCCCCTGCACACCCCCTTTTCTACACCCCTGAATGGCAGGAGTCAGGCACACTGGACAGGTTCCACCGGATATGCTCCACCGGACATATGCCATCGCCATAGTTGTCTTTTGTAAAAATGAAATTATTCCGTGGTACACTGTAAAAATATTATACTGCAACTTCGATATTAAATCATTTTTATCTACCCCCCCCCCCCCCCCTCCCCCCCCCCCCCACCCCCCCCCCCCCCCCCTCACCTTACCCTCACCTTCCCCTCACCTTACCCTCACCTTACCCTCACCTTATCCTCATTTTACCCTCACCTTACCCAGCCAGTCATCAATGTGTTATAAATACGCCTCTGAGCATCTCATCGTTACGGTCAGAACATGATTAACCAAAAATACAAATACACGCAAAATAGCGGTGTTTCCCCGGACAATTTATATGCAGATCAGGTTAGGAGAGGAGTGCCCTCCCTTTCAATGATGCTGCCCTTCAGTTTAGCATAACAACGATAACAAGGACAACAACGACAACAATGATAACAACGATAACAGACATGCGTTCGTGTAAATGGAAACAAATAAAAACAAAAAACTAAAAGACGACACGAATAACAGTTGAAGCGGCTATTTGTCTACGCAAATCACTAGAACACAGGTTTAGTATCAGCGAGCTGTTGGGGGCGAAAACCAGTGTTACAATTTAGATTTCAACCAGTCGGTGGAGGAAGACTTCCATTGTACAGGGTGGATAGTTGGATTAGCAGTGTTTGCGAAAGCGAAATCTGATTATGTAAATCAATCTGATGAGGGAAAGAACTATTTAACAAACTGTCCAATGGGGTATGTCTTGTTTGTACTCTATATCTAGTTTATGGTAATTTTCCAAATAGCTGTCTCACTCTCTTCAGTGCATTTTATCAGACATAAAATTAGGAGTATTGATTAGTACTGGGGGGGGGGGGGGGGGGGGGCACAAAGGCACCATAATACCACGATGGGTTACTTCCAGTGGCGTAGAAAGGGGGCTTGAGGTGGGTGTGCGCTCCAGGCGGCCCATTTCTTCTTTATATTAAAGGGCGCCAATATTGGGCAAGCGCAAAGTTTTTCGTGGGGATGGCGCCCGAAATCTTAGCCCTCCTGGGGGGCACTAACCCCGGATACGCCACTGGCTACTTGAACAGAAACCTTTTAATGTTTTGTTTCGTCTTTGTTAAAATTAAAATTATGATCAACTGACGCAAGATGGCGTTGGCGTGAGTAAAACCGGAGTTTGGACCCCAGCGTGGACGCCAGTGTGGACCAGAAAGTGGACCGGATTTTGTGGGCAAAACTGACAAACTGTCTCGGCGTGACATGGTTCAACTGTCAATTAGCTAACTATGTAATGACGAAATGTCTCACTGTTACATGGTGCCATTGTCTATTAGATACTATGTAATGATAAAATGTCTCATTGGTTACTTGGTGCCACTGTCAATTAGACAATTATGTAATGACTGTGATGTTTAAAAGCGTATATTTCCAGTATCTTATTTAACTGCAATTACCCAAGTGGCGTGGATTTAATCAGTTTTAGAGCGTCTTCGTGTGTCGTCATGTGATTATCTCAGACATACATCTTTCTCTTTGACCTTACATTGGGATAATGTGTTTGGACGACATGGTCATTATAAGTGAAACAGCTATCTTTCAGAAGGCATGGAATTTCAGCAAATGAATTACTGTGCAGAACAAAACACAAAGTTCAACATTTAAGTATTTTAATTCAGCTAAGGGTAAGCTCTCTGCTACATCAAGGACAAGTCACTCATCACATGAACACAGTTACATTAGTTACATTATTCTTTGACATATTTAAACATTTATTATTAAATAGTTTCAAAATTCATACTTCAAGACAATAATAATTCACTAAAACTTTTGATAAAATGTATTTTCATGTAGTTGATCATGTAATTTGACTTTTCTAACTATAAAGTGGCTAAAAGATTTATAAAAAGAATAGTGGACGCTATACCTAGGTTTTCTTAATTTTCTAGGTTGTACGAGGATGTGAGGTTTAGTATTGTAATATGAAGCTAACTCATTTACAACCGACAACTTGAAGTATATGTGTTGAGGAGGTCACAAAATTACTTTTCCAGATTAAATTAGCATTGTTTCCGTGTCAGTGAAAGGTCTTCCTCGGATCATGAATGTAATTGTCATTGTTTCTTTGGCCTTGTGATCAGATTGTGAACTAAATTATCATTGTTTCTTTGGCCTTGTGATCACGTTGTTAACTTAAGTGTCATTGTTTCTTTGGCCTTGTGATCACGTTGTTAACTTAAGTATCATTGTTTCTTTGGCCTTGTGATCAGGTTGTTAACTTAAGTGTCATTGTTTCTTTGGCCTTGTGATCACGTTGTTAACTTAAGTATCATTGTTTCTTTGGCCTTGTGATCAGATTGTTAACTAAATTATCATTGTTTCTTTGGCCTTGTGATCAGATTGTTAAATAAATTATCATTGTTTCTTTGGCCTTGTGATCAGATTGTTAACTAAATTATCATTGTTTCTTTGGCCTTGTGATAACATTGTTAACTAAATTATCATTGTTTCTTTGGCCTTGTGATCAGATTGTGAACTAAATTATCATTGTTTCTTTGGCCTTGTGATCAGATTGTGAACTAAATTATCATTGTTTCTTTGGCCTTGTGATCACGTTGTTAACTTAAGTGTCATTGTTTCTTTGGCCTTCTGATCACGTTGTTAACTTAAGTATCATTGTTTCTTTGGCCTTGTGATCAGATTGTTAACTAAATTATCATTGTTTCTTTGGCCTTGTGATCAGATTGGGAACTAAATTATCATTGTTTCTTTGGCCTTGTGATCACGTTGTTAACTTAAGTGTCATTGTTTCTTTGGCCTTGTGATCACGTTGTTAACTTAAGTATCATTGTTTCTTTGGCCTTGTGATCAGATTGTGAACTAAATTATCATTGTTTCTTTGGCCTTGTGATCACGTTGTTAACTTAAGTGTCATTGTTTCTTTGGCCTTGTGATCACGTTGTTAACTTAAGTATCATTGTTTCTTTGGCCTTGTGATCAGATTGTGAACTAAATTATCATTGTTTCTTTGGCCTTGTGATCAGATTGTGAACTAAATTATCATTGTTTCTTTGGCCTTGTGATCACGTTGTTAACTTAAGTGTCATTGTTTCTTTGACCTTGTGATCAGATTGTTAACTAAATTATCATTGTTTCTTTGGCCTTGTGATCAGATTGTTAAATAAATTATCATTGTTTCTTTGGCCTTGTGATCAGATTGTTAACTAAATTATCATTGTTTCTTTGGCCTTGTGATCAGATTGTGAACTAAATTATCATTGTTTCTTTGGCCTTGTGATCACGTTGTTAACTTAAGTGTCATTGTTTCTTTGGCCTTGTGATCACGTTGTTAACTTAAGTATCATTGTTTCTTTGGCCTTGTGATCAGATTGTTAACTAAATTATCATTGTTTCTTTGGCCTTGTGATCAGATTGTTAACTAAATTATCATTGTTTCTTTGGCCTTGTGATCAGATTGTTAACTAAATTATCATTGTTTCTTTGGTCTTGTGATCAGATTGTGAACTAAATTATCATTGTTTCTTTGGTCTTGTGATCAGATTGTGAACTAAATTATCATTGTTTCTTTGGTCTTGTGATCAGATTGTGAACTAAATTATCATTGTTTCTTTGGTCTTGTAATCTGATTGTGAACTAAATTATCATTGTTTCTTTGGTCTTGTGATCCAATGTTCAGCTGAATTTATAATTCAGATATAACATGATAAATATATGCAAAATGAAAGAAAATCAAAGCAGTAATTCAATCCATTAAGTCTCCTCTGTTAAAAAACGCTACCTGGGAATTTTTTTAAATTTTTATTTTAGATTGCATTCTGAAAAATGAAGTCTCCCTGTTTCCATAACAACCGCTCAGACAACAGCTTCATAATACTCAAGTCAGTGAGATCGTGATGCAATAACTGAGTCCGACACAAACTTTTCATTATGTAGCGTTTTCCATTGATGACCTGTCACGTGAATTCTCATTGCTCAATGGACACCCAGGATAATCATCCCTTGCAAAAAATCTGGACAGCGGCAAGAGAGAAGCTGATGCCGCATTGGAAAAAAATCGGGTAAGAGAATAAAAACTGCCGAGTGCATAAAAATGTTGTCCTAATTTAATTCATATGTTGATTTTCTTCTTTTTTTCCCTCTGTATCTCTGATACGCTATTCGAGCCATAGTGCCCCATGTGTCATGACAATGGAATTATGTGGCTTATCTTAAAGTAATCAATGCATAGAGTATTGTGTAATCCTGTATTATGTAATAATATACAGTACAGGCCTATTAAGCTACAGAAAAGTTCGACTTATAATTCTAAAAAAAAATGTAAGCTGTACATTCCTTCATTTCATCTAAATACACATGGGTGTGCTCATGAGATGTAATCTCGTTTTCAAAACGTATATACTTATCAACAAAGTAACATCTTCAATCAATTACATACCAAACATATTCGATTTTAGGCAAAGCGCTAATACATACCGTACTTGTTTTCTAATCTTATGCATGATGCAATTATTATTATTTGGCACTTGATATTTCTTTAGGATTCTCATTGTTGGTGTTGTCATTTTGGGAGCTGCTTTCGGCTACGCCATGTCCTCCAACAAAAAATCCAGCGCAGTTTGCGACATTGTAAAACCTTCTGCCCTTGAAGCATCTGATTCCTGTCCCTGGCAGCTCGTCATGTCGGACCTGACCCACAGACTCAGGCTCATAGAAATGGCTTTCAAAGAACAAGTTATAGCAAGGGAGGTAAGAGGATGTCACCTCATGTATCGCCTACTTGATTACCTTCCCTGGCTTATCATGAAGCAGCTGTAGAAACATGAATTCCTAATGTTAGCATTTTTTTATTCAGAATGTGGATGAAACTAAAAATATGACTTCATACGTCACCATTGCTCCACAGGTTATTGCAGCGGAAGTGACGAACCAATCTTATTCTAACCACGAGCTTGAGCGCAAGTTAGATAACTTCACCTCGTCTTTGAAGCAGTTGACTTACAGGCTTGACAAGCTTAACGAGCAGTTGGGGGAGATGACGTCAAGGATCTACTCAGATGGTTAGTGACGCGATGGTCTATGAACCATTGTTACGCTTCAGTATTGTATGCTAGGCCTTTAACATTGTTTAAAGGATTTATACGAAGAAAGTTCTTTGAAATGATTAGACCAATAATCACAATTTATTTGTGAAATGAACTTGAAATATGTTTCTAAAGATCATCTCTACTGACTATTTTTTTTAATTTAAAAAAAAAATGGCATAATTGGGGGAGGGGGAGTCCTTGAAAGTTTGATATTTGTTGACAAGGGCGAAGAGGTGTAAGAATGGTCTAAAATGTAGATGTAATTAATGGAAGTCCAAAAACAAAATCGACCCTTGCAATAAATTGACATAATAGTAAATGTGTCTGTGTTAAAGTTCAAAATAAAGAAGTATGAACGAGAGGGGGTGAGGGGGTATACTTGTGATTTGCAATGTTAACATCACATGTCAGTCAACCATATCTAATGTAATGTTAACATCACTTGTCAGTCAACCATATCTAATGAAATGTTAACATCACATGTCAGTCAACCATATATAATGAAATGTTAACATCACATTATAAACAACCATATCTAATGTAATGTTAACATCACATGTCAGTCAACCATATCTAATGTAATGTTAACATCACATGCCAATCAACCATATCTAATGTAATGTTAACATCACAGTCAGTCAACCATATCTAATGTAATGTTAACATCACATGTCAGTCAACCATATCTAATGTAATGTTAACATCACAGTCAGTCAACCATATATAATGTAATGTTAACATCACAGTCAATAAACCATATCTAATGAAATGTTAACAACACATGTCAGTCAACCATATATAATGAAATGTTAACATTACATGCCAATCAACCATATCTAATGTAATGTAAACATCACAGTCAGTCAACCATATATAATGTAATGTTAACATCACATGCCAGTCAACCAAAGCTAATGTAATGTTAACATCACAGTCAGTCAACAATATCTAATGAAATGTTAACATCAAATGTCAGTCAACCATATCTAATGAAATGTTAACATCACATGCCAATCAACCATATCTAATGTAATGTTAACATCACATGTCAGTCAACCATATCTAATGTAATGTTAAAATTACATGTCAGTCAACCATATCTAATGTAATGTTAACATCACAGTCAGTCAACCATATCTAATGAAATGTTAACATCACATGTCAGTCAACCATATATTTTGTAATTTTAACATCACATGTCAGTCAACCATATATAATGAAATGTTAACATCACATGCCAATCAACCATATCTAATGTAATGTTAACATCACAGTCAGTCAACCATATATAATGTAATGTTACAATCACAGTCAGTCAACCATATCTAATGAAATGTTAACATCACATGTCAGTCAACCATATATTATGAAATGGTAACATCACATGCCAATCAACCATATCTAATGTAATGTTAACATCACATGTCAGTCAACCATATCTAATGTAATGTTACAATCACATGCCAATCAACCATATCTAATGTAATGTTAACATCACAGTCAGTCAACCATATCTAATGTAATGTTAACATGACATGCCAATCAACCATATATAATGTAATGTTAACATCACTTGTCAGTCAACCATATCTAATGAAATGTTAACATCACTTGTCAGTCAACCATATCTAATGTAATGTTAACATCACATGTCAGTCAACCATATCTAATGAAATGTTAACATCACATGTCAGTCAACCATATCTAATGAAATGTTAACATCACTTGTCAGTCAACCATATCTAATGTAATGTTAACATCACTTGTCAGTCAACCATATCTAATGTAATGTTAACATCACTTGTCAGTCAACCATATATAATGTAATGTTAACATCACATGTCAGTCAACAATATCTAATGTAATGTTAACATCACAGTCAGTCAACCATATCTAATGTAATGTTAACATCACATGTCAGTCAACCATATCTAATGTAATGTTAACATCACATGTCAGTCAACCATATCTAATGTAATGTTAACATCACATGCCAATCAACCATATCTAATGTAATGTTAACATCACATGCCAATCAACCATATCTAATGTAATGTTAACATCACATGCCAATCAACCATATGTAATGAAATGTTAACATCACATGCCAATCAACCATATCTAATGTAATGTTAACATCACATGTCAGTCAACCATATCTAATGTAATGTTAACATCACATGTCAGTCAACCATATCTAATGTAATCTTAACATCACATGCCAATCAACCATATCTAATGTAATGTTAACATCACATGTCAGTCAACCATATCTAATGCAATGTTAACATCAAATGCCAATCAAAAATATGCATGGGTGGCACTCATCTGCTGTTGTAATATGTACCGCGCTATAAAAGATGTCTTATTATTATTATTATTATTATTATTATTATTTCCTTTACATTGTATAAGTAACAGTTATTGCACACTCCCTGTTAACATCTTTACAAACAACACCAAATAAGATCTCATTAAACGCTACTATTGGCAGTTATTGTTTTCAACTCTCATTCAATACTACTATTGACAGTTATTGTTTTCAACTCTCATTCAACAGTACTATTGACAGTTATTGTTTTCAACTCTCATTCAACACTATTATTGACAGTTATTTTTTCAACTCTCGATCAACGCTACTTTTGTTAGTTATCGTTTTCAACTCCCATTCAACACTACTATTGGCCGTTATTTTTTAAACTCTCATTCAACGCTACTTTTGACAGTTATTGTTTTCCACTCTCATTCAACGCTACTTTTGGTAGTTATTGCTTTCAACCCTCATTCAACACTACTATTGACAGTTATTGTTTTCAACTCTCATTCAACGCCACTGTTGACAGTTATTGTTTTCAACTCTCATTCAACGCCACTGTTGACAGCTATTGTTTTCAAATCCCATACAAAGCAATTATTGACAGTTGTTGTTGTCAACTCCCATTGAACGCTATTATTGACAGTTATTGTTTTCAACTCTCATTCAACGCCACCGTTGACAGTTATTACTTTCCAATCTCATTCAACGCCCGTGTTGAAAGGTATTGTTTTCAATTCTCACTCAACGCCACTGTTGACAGTTATTGTTTTCAAATCTCATTCAACGCCACTGTTGACAGTTATTGTTTTCAATTCTCACTCAACGCCACTGTTGACAGTTATTGTTTTCAAATCTCATTCAACGCCACTGTTGACAGTTATTGTTTTCAACTCCTATTCAACGCCACTGTTGACAGCTATTGTTTTCAACTTCAGAATGTCTGGGATTTTTGGTCCTCGTGTTTGTGGCCGGCCAGGTCATCCTGACCCTCAGGTCCAAACTTCAACTCAAGCTGTCCTATGACCAGGGTCAACCCGTGCGTCACAACAGTCGAGACTTGACCAATCAAAATGGATCAGGTGCTGGAGTCGTCAGATCTAATTCGGTAACGTAAACACTTTAGGTGGTCATAGTAAAAATGTTGGGCCACAGTGGACGCCAGTGGAAGGCCCCAGAAAACAAAAACATGTCTTGCTCTAAACACGAAAGGTCGTTGCCTTGTAAGAAGTAGTCACATTAAATCTCTTTCCTCTTCCCTCCGTATTACAACAATGAAATCTGAATTGACCTTCAGTTGACCATTTTGGGTCGATCATTAGAAGCTGACACGTTGTCAGGACTAAACGGCGTCATCACGACGTGGGTGTGACATGTGATATATATTTTTATAGGAAGTTTTTCAATTATCCCAAAAGTTCACATATTTTCTGGATAATAAATCTTAGTTTTTAAAGGTATAAAAACTTTTTTTTTATATATACTTGTTTTAAAGCAACCTTAACGGCGTTTATTACTTTTAGTTCAAATTAATCGTTTATAAGATCTTAATTTATGTAAAATTAATATCAATAAATAAAAGAGTAATTATTTTTTAAAGCATTAAAATACATTATGAGCCAATGAAGAACTGCTTATTGGTGAAGTGAATAAATTCATTTACCTTTTTTTTTTTTTTTTTTTTTAAGAAGAAAAAAATAGTCTGGTCCTTTAGCCAAATAATCAATCCTAGTTTTGACAATTGACAGTATCTCATCTTATGTGATCATATGTGAATTATACAAAGAAATGGGAGGTAGGAGTGAACAGTAACTATATAGCTGGGAATAATTAATAGTAATATTAAATAGCTACTTGACAGTATTTCATTGTATATTTCCATTAGAGCATCAGTGGATCGCATCAGGTGGCCAAGCCCAATACTAATCCTAAACAAGATGTCTGCGTCATAGGATTCAACAAGCAATCGCTCAAGCTATGTCTGGCCCAGACCGAGGCTCTCCTGGAATGTCTCTGCGATGACGTCAGTACACTCACCCCGCCCAGCCACGTCATCGCCTGCCACGATGCCCTGGGGGGCTGCCCCAAGGCCAGACTGTACCTGGTTCAAGTGGATTGCGTCGGTGATAGGGAACATCTGGACGTCTCTAAGGAGGCGGAGAAACAAAGCAAGGCAATTTTAACGACAACTTTACGGCATCTCAAGTCCATTGGAGGTTGGTATAATAATTTTTAAAAAAAAGATTGAATTAGATATAGCTGCATCGTTCACATCTTACCATTGCAAACGGCGGTCAAGGTGGGAAATTAACGCGATAAAAGCGTAGAGCTATTTTGTATTTAACAATTTAATATATTTTCAAATATTATGATTAGACTTAGAGACAGATTATTCTGTTTGACGTATCCATTCATTTAATATTATTAACGGTTTTTTTAAGCTAATCATTATATCCATAAAATAAAGCTGACCATAATGGTAAATATCCACATTAGGTATATTTTAGCTATTATGACTTAAATCATGTCAACATAAAGTCACAATGAATAAAATCGGAGCTTAAATTAACTCTAACTTCTTATATTTTGATATTCTCGTTTTATTCAAATAACCCCAATTATGCATATAATATGAGCAAATATTCAACAACTTTTTACCGTAAATTTCATTGTAGTTTGGGAATCCCTTGAACTCTCAAGGGTTGTCTAGTAAAACATAAGACTCCATTGAACACCTATTATTGTCACCACTCATTGACTATAGTGCACGCGTATATTTTTTGACACCTCATATTCCTCAAAACAGTCAAAATGGACAAGTACTTTCACATGAGTACATTGACTACAAATGCATTTGTACATTGACGACAAATTTTGTAGATACATGGACCATACTTTTCCCAAATTAATGTCTTGTTATT